TGGTGCTGAGGACCCGGACGGTGGAGCTGCTGCTGGTGCTGAGGACACGGACGGTGGAGCTGCTGCTGGTGCTGAGGCCCCGGGCGGTGGAGCTGCTGCTGGTGCTGCGGACCCGCACGGTGGAGCTGCTGTTGGTGCTACGGACCCAGCCGGTGGAGCTGCTGCTGGTGCTGCGGACCCGGACGGTGGAGCTGCTGCTGGTGCTGAGGACCCGGACGGTGGAGCTGCTGCTGGTGCTGAGGCCCCGGGCGGTGGAGCTGCTGCTGGTGCTGCGGCCCCCGGTGCTGGTGTTTCTGCTGGCTCTGGGGACGCTACGAGGCCGCGACCGTACTTCGTCCCGCTCCTTCAGCAGGTTCTTGGTCTGGCTCCTCCTCCTTGTCCTCCTCCCTCCGTAGAGTGTCTGCAGCCTGTCCAGTCGCAGTCACAGTTACCGCCTACCTCGCCTCTCCCTGGTCCCTCTCCTTACACCGGTCCCACAGGAGGTCTTACCGAGCATCGTAAGCCTGCATCTCGTCCTGCGTCACCTGTTCGTCCTGCGTGCACTAGTCATCGTGGCACGCGTGAGCGTCCTCCTCCTGTCCCTGGCACTCACTACATGACACTGCGTCGCTCCACTGCTCCTCAGCGTGTCCCTCTGCCGTCTCCTCCTGCGTCCTCTCTCCCTACTCTTCCTGACCCGGAGTCTGACTCCCGTCGTGCTGCCAGTCCCACAGTCACGCGTCTCCTCGCCACTGTTGTCACTGACCCTACCTTTGAGTCCTCTGCTGCGTCTGCTCTGGTCGCTGAGTTGGTTGACTTTGCTGCCGCGTGCCGTCTAGACTTCGCCGCTAGCCTTGTTGCTGAGTCTGAGTTTGTCTGTCCTCCGTCCGTCGGGGGTGAGTGTGCTCTAGGCACGGACGTCCTTGAGGACAGACAGGAGGAGTTCCAGTGCTTTGCTGCTGCTTTGCCCCATCTTGTGTCCATGCTAGTTGCCCCTGAGGGAGACCCGGATGCACCAGACATCCCGACCCCGCGCTCTTACGCAGAGGCGGTGGCAGGTCCCTACTCCTCTTAGTGGCAGACAGCCATGGACGCAGAGATGGCTTCCTGGAAGTCCACAAGCACCTACGTCGACGAGGTTCCCCCACCTGGGGCGAACATCGTCAGTGGCATGTGGATTTTCAGGGTGAAGCGGCCGCCTGGTTCTCCTCCTGTCTTCAAGGCACGCTACGTTGCTCGAGGCTTCAGTCAGCGCGAGGGAGTAGACTTCTTTCAGACCTTCTCCCCCACCCCGAAGATGACTACTCTTCGGGTGCTGCTGCACATAGCCGCTCAGCGAGACTACGAGCTTCACTCACTTGACTTCAGTACTGCTTTCTTGCAGGGCAGTCTTCACGAGGAGATCTGGCTGCGCCGCCCTCCTGGCTTCACTGGGTCGTTCCCTCCTGGTACCCAGTGGAGGCTCCAGCAGCCAGTCTACGGTCTCCGCCAGGCGCCACGTGAGTGGCACGACACACTGAGGACGACACTCGCGGCACTTGGGTTCGCTCCTTCTACTGCTGACCCGTCGCTGTTTCTACGCACTGACACCTCGCTGCCGCCTTTCTACATCCTCGTGTACGTGGACGACTTGGTCTTTGCCACTGCTGACACTCAGGCACTCGCCCACGTGAAGTCGGAGCTGCAGAAGCGACACACGTGCACAGACCTGGGTGAACTGACAAGCTACCTTGGCTTGCGGATCACTCGGGACAGAGCACGGCGCACCATCACCTTGACTCAGTCACACATGGTGCAGCAGGTCCTTCAGCGCTTCGGTTTCACGTACTCCTCGCCTCAGGCCACTCCTCTGCCTACAGGTCACTCGCTCTCAGCTCTGCCTTCGGATGAGTCCGTAGAGTCGAGTGGCCTGTATCCAGAGCTTGTTGGCTGCCTCATGTACCTGATGACCTGCACTCGACCTGACCTTGCATACCCTCTTAGCATCCTTGCACGCTATGTCGCTCCTGGCCGTCACCGGAAGGAGCACATGGATGCCGCTAAGAGGGTGTTGCGCTACTTGTGCAGTACGTCGGGCATGGGGCTAGTGCTTGGAGGGCGAGACCGTGTTGTACTCACTGGACACTCAGACGCTTCTTGGGCGGACGACCAGGCTACTCAGCGGTCGTCTCAGGGTTACACCTTCAGCCTTGGCTCTGGCTCAGTTTCTTGGCGTTCTACACGCTCTTCTTCTGTTCTCAGCTCCAGTTGTGAGGCTGAGATCTACGCCACAGCCATGGCGGCCCAGGAGCTACGCTGGCTGACCTACCTGCTGACTAACTTGGGAGAGCGGCCTCGTTCCCCTCCAGTGCTGTACGTTGACAACAAGGCTTCCATTGCCTTGTGTGAGGAGCACAGACTGGAGCACAGAACGAAGCACATCGCTCTGCGGTACTTCCTTGCTCGAGAGCTTCAGCAGCGTGGTCAGCTTTGTCTCCGTTACGTGGCCACTGAGGCCAACACTGCTGATGTGTTCACCAAGGCGCTTCAGCCTTGTGACCATCAGCGCTTTTGCACTCTCCTAGGTCTTGTGCCTACTGGACCTCACTTGCTCACTTCTTGACTCTGTTTGTACTGTGATCTTTATATATATACCTGCATGTTTACACTTGCTAGGTTGTGATCATTGTACCTCTTGCTCTATTATAAACCTGCATGTGAACTGGTCTTGTGACCGCTTGCTTGTGCTCAGAATTTGTGTGGAATCCTTGAGATCCACCCTGAGCTTGTTTTGCCTTGCTCTGCCTTGACTGGTCTTGTGACCCCTAGTTCTCCCCCACTTTGCCTATGGGGGTGTGTCAAACATTATATATGTTATGCTTGTGTAGGCTACAGTGGGTTAGCCTATACGGGGTACACAATTCTAGGGTTAGGTACTTGTACTGTTTTGCACTGTTAGTTCATCATTCTTTCCGACAACCCCGCCTTGGTTGCCACGTCATACCCTCCTGCATCCACCACTTCCACCAACAACCCGCCCCACTTGCCACCACCACGAGCCACGTCACCCCCCACACACCTGAAACGCCTCGCCCTGTGATGCGCCGTTCCCTTGCACCCTTTCAAACCGCCACGTCATATCTCAACCCTCACCTTCTTGCCACGTCACACCCTCCTGCATCCGCCACGTCCACCAACAACCCGCCCCCCTTGCCACGTCACACCCCAACACCACAAGCCACGTCACCCCCCACCCACCTGAAACGCCTCGCCTCGTCATGCACCGCTCCTTTGTACCCTAAAAACCCGTCACGTCATCCCCAACCCTCACCTTCCGCCACGTCACACCCTCTTGCATTCGCCAGGGCCACCAACAACCCGCCCCACTTGCCACGTCACACCCCCCTGCCACAAGCCATGTCACCCCCCACCCACCTGACACGCATCGCCGGTCATGCGCCGCTCCCTTGCACCCTTTCACACCGCCACATAATATCTCAACCCTCACCTTCTTGCCGCGTCACACCCTCCTGCATCCGCCACGTCCACCAACAACCCGCCCCACTTGCCACGTCACACCCCAACACCACAATCCACGTCACCCCCCACCCACCTGAAACGCCTCGCCTTGGCCTGCGCCGCTCCCTTGTACCCTGAAAACCCGTCACGTCATCCCCACCCCTCACATTCCGCCACGTCACACCCTCTTGCATCCGCCACGTCCACCAACAACCCGCCCCACTTGCCACGTCACACCCCCCTACCACAAGCCACGTCACGCATCGCCACTCACCTGACATGCGTCGCCGGTCACGCGCCACTCCCTTGCACGCTTTCAAACCGCCGCGTCATCCCCAACCCCGCCTGGTTGCCACGTCAACCCCAACCCGCCCCATTTGACCCCCCACATACCAGGAATGGGTTTGTCTCCTGCAGCACAAGCACTCGTGCCAAGTCCACGGCACTCATCGGCGGCGGGGTACCAGCCATAGGCACCACTGCGGACCCCCCGGCATAACCGGCAGGTGCTCCACGACGTAGGCCGAGCTGGGCAAACATGGCGTACATCTCAGACCGTAGCGCCTGGAACTCCTCCCTTGTAACAAACTGCTCGTGCTCCGCACCTTTGCCTAGGGCACCCATGACATCCGAAAAAGGGTGTGAAGAATCCCCCCTCTGGCCAAGGGGATCAACGTCTTCAGCAGCAGCCCCGTGTGCCCTCACACTATCACGCTGGCGGGGAAAGGGCAGCTCAGGGAAGGGGTTGGCAGAAGTGCTTGGCTGATGCGCGTGCGAAGGACCGGCAAGGGGGGAGACCGCCCTGCCCCTTACAGGAGAAGCGTGGAGCTGCCGATATGGGAATGAGGGTGAGGCGAGTGGGGAGTGCGTGACGTGGCCTGGTGGAGGGGATTTGGATTCCTCTCCTCTTGGTGCGCCGGGTGCTGTAGCAACGACTTTAGAAGGGCCGGAGTATGGCGTGAAGAACCGGGGGGGCTCTTGTGGATAGCGGGGTACCACTCGCTCTTCCGGCCCCCTTCGTTAGCTGCATCCGTTGCACGCTTACCGGTGGCCCAATGCCTGTAACACGGGGGGCTGAGTTTATAGGGAGTATGAGCACAGAGTTAGAGTCGATTACGTGCAATACAGGGGCACACATGCATGCAAACGAGCAGCCGCTTGAATCTAACTTGGGTTTAGCAGGGTACTGTTGTGTAAAAACAGGCCTTACCCGGCTTTGACCTTCTCCTTCCTTGCAGGAGGGAAACAATGTGTAAAGCGGTCGGTTCATCACAAAGTACGGCAGCCATGCCATGTGTTTGTGCCACGTTGCTTACCTCGCTGCCGTCCCTTCGGTTTAGCTGCCTGTGCCTTCTCATTGCCACCTTTCCGCGGAGTGATTTGGCGACCGCTGCGACATTTACCGGCAGGTTCTTTCTTGGCCGAACCCACCGGAATCCCTTTGGCGCGCCCTCCCTTTCCTTCCCCATCGCCTTTTGCTCCCTGTCTCCCTTGCTTTTTACCACCCCCTTCAGCTTCGACCTTCACTTTACGCGCCTTCGATTTGCCCGCTGATTCGCCACGCGTTGCGTCAACCGCCCCGCGTTTTCGGGCATGACGAGACCGGCCCCCCACCTTCCCTGTACCACTCCCCCGTCTGCCTTGCGCGCCCCGTCCTTTAACTGCCGGCACATCCTCCTCCTCTTCCTCTTCCGCCCCTTCCTCCTCCTCCTCCTCCTCCTCCTCCTCCTCCTCCTCCTCCTCCTCCTCCTCCTCCTCCTCCTCCTCCTCCTCCTCCTCCTCCTCCTCCTCCTCCTCCTCCTCCTCCTCCTCCTCCTCCTCATGCTCGTCCTCCTCATCTTCCTCGTCCTCCTCCCTCTCCTCCTCATGCTCTCCTCCTCCTCTTCCTCCTTCTCCTCCTCCTCCTCCTCCTCCTCCTGCTCCTCCTCCTCCTGCTCCTCCTCCTCCTCCTCCTCCTCCTCGCCCCCCTCCTCATCCTCCTCCGCATCCTCATCTTCGTCCTCCTCCTCATCATCCTCATCCTTTTCCTCCTCCCCTGCATCCGCGTCCTCCTCCTCCGCATCCTCCTCATCCTCCTCATCCTCCTCTTCCTCAGCATCCTCCTCCTCATCAGCCTCCTCCTCCTCATCCCCCTCATCCTCCTCATCCGCTTCATCAAGGCCTTCTTCGCCGCGCTTCGGCCTCTTCCCCCTCGCTGCTTGCTTGCCCCTCCTTCCGCTTGATGGTTTCCTCGCTCCAGGTCGGCCCTTATGGCGCAATGCATGACCCGTCGCCTTGCCAATTGCTTCCCTGGCGCCTCGCGTTGTCCCCACTTCAGCTTCACCGACGTCGTCACCACTAGATGTCGTCTACCTCCTCTTCACCCGCGTAGGGATGTCCTCGGTCACGGCGGTGTCATACTCCTCCTCCCCATCGCTCTTCCTCTGCCTACGCCTCCCACGTCCACCAGAGGGAGGTGAGCCACCGGCGTCGGCGATGCCGTGTTTAGGCTCCTGCGTAGAATCTTGCGCAGCATCCTTGTCCTTATCTACCACGGCAGCAGAAACTTCAACCACGGGCGGGTGGAGCAGCGTTAGATGGTGTTGCGATGCCTCCGCCTCGGACTCCACGGTTGCGGGACGCTCATCGCGGGGAGAGTCTCCGTGCTTTCCTCCTGTCGCCGAGCCCTCTCTCTCCACCGACCGGACGGCAAGACTTACGCTCCCTCGCACAGGGTCTTCTTTGCCGCCGATGGTGCCGTCGTTAGTCGGACCGGGCTCGGGGGGAGCAGAGGCAACTTTCGCATCCTTTTTCACGGCCGAAACCTGCTTGCGTGGCGTTGATTGCTTCCCCTTGTCTTCCGCCTTCTTCCCGGACTTCTCCTGTCCAACCGCGGCCTTTTTTCCCGCCACTTTTCTCTGTTGACTGCCACGCGCGGTGGCCGCTTTAGTAGCTTTAGATCTGCCCCCACCCTCTCGGTCGGTCTGAAAAGACATCCTCCGTATCGAGCATCGTCCGGCCTGCTCCTCCTCCTTTTCTTTTGGCCGAGTTGCACGTGTCATGGTAGTTGTAAGAATGCAATTTCTAACTTGCGGAACGGTGTACCGAGTTTACCTTGCGAACTGCCAAGGAATGTTACTAATGGAACCTGTCCCGGTTTAATAGATCTTCTCTTGCCAAAAACCTCTGCTACAATTAAAACTGAAATAGTAGCTACTAAGCACATAGCTACGGCCCATTACTTAGTCGCTACGCTGACTCACGGGCGATCTGGAAACTCCAGTGTCAAACACCGAGCAGCGTCTTTGTTGTGGGTATGAGGGTTACGGAAGTTGGTGGCTGTGGCAAGAGGGTGGTTGGGGTGGCTTGCGAGGCTAGAGAGGACTGTAAGCAGACCAAGCACAATTGGACGGTGTACGTTTAGCCACCCGATCACAAACCCACTCACCGCTCGATCACAGCCGCTGCTTCCGCGGCGGATGTCCCGCTTGGCTGGTGCGGTAGTGGGGAGAGGGGTCGTTTGAGATGCGTCGGCCAATCAGTGCCAATGCATCAATCACTGCACAATCCAGAACAGTTTCTAGACCACTTCGCATCAAACTAGGCAAAGTACAGTGCTAATGCAAAATGAACAAAGTTGCACATATAACCAAAATACTCATCAAAACTACAACAAATACAATATTAAAAAAATGTTGCTAATGTTAGAATATGGTGTAGTGCTAAGGTAGTGGATTTGGCTCAGGACACACACTTTACGAGCTTCCATAACTAAGGCTCCTGATATCTGTACCAAACAGACATTGAATCTAAACCGCTGTGGTATGGTGTTGGATTGGGCTCAATTCTTGTGTGGCCCTTCAACAAGGTGCATCAAGGGAGTGGTGTGAAGCACAGGTCTAACGCACACGCGGTGATGCGTTATCGACATCCATGTATCGACGGGGCGACGTTGCAGCGTTCAGGCCCATGCGTTGCGCGACATGGTGAAACCGTTTTGGTATGGTCTTAGATTTGGCTGTACCTTCTACAAGTTGCATTGAGGTCCACTAAACATCTTGAGAAGCGATGATATACATTTTCGGTTCATGCATCAATCTTACGTTAGGGTACGGAGTTGGGTATGTTTTCAGACCACACTAGAGAACTGGTCGGGTTTACAAACACTGCCGTTGGCAAAAAGGGGTTGGTTTTGAGCAGGCCCTAAAGTATGGTAGTAAAATAAATATAAGTGCAATGAGTTTCTATATAAAATGTAACTGTACATGGTCATTACCTGGTTTAGATTAAGGCTCTGGTCATCGTGTTTTCCCCCCTATAGCGTCTCTTGAAAGAATCACAGCACCAGACAAATCTCTTCCCTCTCTTCCTCTTCCACCTCAACACTCACGCCCGATTCAAAAACCCAAGTTTTGAATCAAGAGGCACGTACTTCTTACCGTGCACGTGACGCACTCTCGCGACCAAGCTTGCTATACTCCACTGCATAAGGCCCTGCTCACGTCGTGGTCACTCTAAAAGGGGGTGACACGCTTGTAGGAAAGGGAAATGTCGTGCTGTCAGCGGTCCGTATCTAGCCTTGTCACGACCGCGCTTCGCGACCATTGTTAGCCAGTCCCTAACACTAGCGCCACGATCAAGTGCTAGTCGTGCAGAGATCCAAGCCGCCGTGGACAGTACGCGGTTTGGCGATGACCATGCTGGAGTCAGAGACTTCATCGACCGTGTACTAAGTGCGTTCACAAGCTTCACACTGGCTAGTAGCTTCATGCTCCATTTCTCCACTCTTAGACGGATCTAGAATACATGGGCTCTTTGCCAGGCGTTGTCTGCAAGTTTTACAACAGATGGTTCCCCAACGCCCAAGTTTATGGCGGTCATAAGTCACGGCGGACCCCTTGTCAAGGGCTTTCCGCCGTGGCAAGGCCCTCGCGATCTGCACCGTCCACCGGTCTACACGCGCTGCTATTCGTCCACGACATTCTGTCGGACGCTCCCGCTGCTCCCGCCTCCGCTACCGTGTCTAACACATCCAACACTGTCAGTGTGATCGGTCCTCCTCGCGTGCCTGAAGCTGGCGAAGACGGAACACCCTCGGCTATGAACGAGGGGCCTCCTGAAGATGAACATCAACCTCCACTAGGAACACATGCAGCTGACACGAGTGAGCATCCTGAGAGCCGGCCTGAAGTGAGTCATGCCGCGCCGCCGACAATCATCTCCGGACAGAGCAATGCCACGCCCCTCAATCCGCTCGCGTTGAAGCTGCTGCATTTCGTTCAGCGAGTGAATGGCGGAATGGGAATGGCAGAGGTTGACATCAATGGCCTGCTTCAGCTTGTTGTGGAGCCTGGCCTTGCGCCTCTTGTGACTTCAGAGATCTAGAACTGCAAGGATCTGGAGCGGTTCGAGATGGAGCGCTTGGTAGGGCTCAATCGCGGATGGTCAGTGGCGACCTTCGAGATTGACGGTTATCCGCCACAGAGCCTTCTCTTCCAGAACTCAACTTAGGTAAGCCGACTCTGAATGCGTGGCAATGAAATGCTGATTCCGCAACTATGTGGTGCTTGTTGAAAGTTGTCATGGTTATGCTTGTATGAGATCTGACCCACCTTCAACGCCACTAACCAGGGTTTAGTTCTCTCCTGCCCTTGCCACCGTACACTAGGCATTCGCTGAACTGTTTGGGCATACCAACAACGCGCCCGGCTTCAAGCTCAAGGCGCATGTCGATGGGGATCCTGACACAGGCGAGCGTTGCTATACCACGCCGGAAACAGGAACGTGGTGGAACGATGCTCAAGTATGGAAACACCCTATTGCCACCCAAAACCAGATCCGTGCGCATGCCTCCGTTGATGCGCTGATGTGTCTGGAGCATCTTGAGTGTGTCATGTTCGTTGCACATGCTATCAAGCTGGTTTAAACCGCCTTGCGACAAGTTACCTTGGTGGTGTTTGACCGTGTGTCCGTTCACTCTTTGTCGTGCATTGCAGGAACACATTGGATGGTCCGAAGTTGTGGGGGGAATCATCCTATATTCGGATGTGTCGCACATGAAAAACAACGGCCAGAAGAAGGCGTGGCCGCTTATGATGACGCTTGCCAACATCTCCCAGGCCAAGCGATGGGGGAAAGTCGGGCGCACGCTACTTGCTCTCCTTCCTATCCCCCCTTCTGCAATGTGTGCCGTGGAGAAGGTGATGCTCTTTTAGCGATGTGTCATCAGCATGCTGCAGCCGCTTCTCGATGGCATGGAAAGGTCCGTACTGGGTTTTTGTCTTGCTATGTCGTCACCCAATCACCTGCATAGTATGCAAAGCGACTCTGTATATAGCAGTCCCCTTTGCCCCTCTTCGATGATGCACAAAGCTGTCCTCCGTATTCCTATTGCCACTCTATCTGTTCCTTGCAGCGGGCTCCGTCTGAGGGACACTTTCGGTGATTGGCAAACCGTCAAGCCCCTGTTGTACGCCTGGATGTGCGACTACCCCAGAGCGGCAAGATCAGTTGCACACTCTCGCATGGATCGCGGATGCCGTGCAGCATCTGCTATGCTGCAAATGCAAGCAAATATGCCATATGCGCGCCTTCAGATCCTTTGTCATTTGAATGTCGCCTGACGGAACTCTTAAACTCACCTCCGGTTCCTGTTTATCCCATCCCACCCCCCGTGCTACACCAGGAGCACCTGGTTGCTGTCAAGGCACGGAACACGCCGCGCACGCCTGAACAGCAGCAATGGATCGTGAATGAGGCGGCTGGGTTGACATCAAGCCAGGCCGACCCATGCAAGACCTACTCGACCTACCCGGTTGAGGTGAGCAACCTGTCTCCCCTTTGCTACTGTATAGTCTACGCACTGCGTGTTGCTCAGTAATGGGGGAGATGTGCTCTACCCCATTGAACCGTCCCCACATGTTGTTTACCGGGTCTCTCAATTACCTTTCTCCACCATTCCCCACCATATCCCCTTTCCAGTGTGTGCACTGGAAGTGGGATGTCCCAGGGACCGTGTGGGGCAATCCCTACCTCGTTATCATGCCTGACATCATGCACCAGGCGGACCTGGGCATGATGAGCCACATTGTGGCTTTCGTGCACAAGATGAAGAAGCGGCGCGTGAAGCAGATGGACAGGTCAGTGTTTTGGGGGATTAGATTCGACACATACACTCCAATCCGCACTCTCCTCCTTATACTTACATGTTTCTGTATTTGTGCCGCCCTTGAACTGTTGTGTATGCACAAGAGCCTGTCCCTCATTCGTGACTCCACGCGGCTGGACCACATGCGCCTGCCAGAGAGCGCCTACTTCGAGACCGGAGCATGTGTCGCGGCCTATGAGCACAGGGCCGTCATGCAGGTAAAAAAGCCATGGTGCATGTTATCATCTTGTGCGATAGCATGCACCATGCAGAAGCAGCATGCCGATTCCATACTACGACACACCCCCTGCTGCATCTTATTACCCATTCTCCTGATCTCATCAATACCGCCTCCAAACCCGTTTGGTTATCTTGTCACGCATTTCCCAACTACTCATGTCCACCTTCCATTCTATGCTATGTGAAAATTGCAGGTCATGGTGTTTGTTTTCGCTGGCCTGCTTCGCCAGTCCCAGCTGGATGCCGTTCGTGCCTATCTTGGCTGGTACCTCTTGTGTTGCCAGCCAACGGGGCACACCGAGCGGTCCCTGCGGGATCTCAAGAAGAAGACCTCCCGGTACTATTAACATGCATGTAAATCCCTGAGCATTGCATGAATGTCTGGCCACGGCTCCTAAGCTGTTGCAGTAACCTATCTTGTGAAGATGTTGCTGATAAACCATGATCGTAAATCAACTAAAGTAGGCTGCACTATGCTGTAGTAGACTATGATGTCCTTGCATATGCTGTCAAATCCCACTCCCATCAGGTTGGTTGAGCAGTTGCAGGCTGCTTTTTCAAAGCAGCCATCCTCCTGGTGCCTTGTGAAAACCCATCTCATGTCGCACT